GTCACGGCGCGGCGCGTCACTGAGCGTCATCGAGCGTCGCGTCATGTACTTTTTCATGCTATTCACACACGATGCGTCATGGAGCGGCGTGTTTTCTGTTTTCCAATGCTGTTCACAGCAAACTTGCAGAATTCTTGACAGGTTGTACTGTATTCCTTGCATTGGAAAGTCAAGCTGGACATTTAAGTTTGCTACAGAAACGGATAAAACGGTAATCTGAAGCTAATATATCAAAAACAGCATCTTGGCCAAAAAATTAGGTATTCTATGTACTTCAATTAGTCTCATGCGGTTTCTTCAACATTCCGGTCCAAGAGGTTGGCCAATGTTTTGACAGGAACACGATTCTCTTCAAGCATTCATTAGTGAACTGAAATTTTTATTGATATTAAAGATTTGGAAGGTCTACTACAATTAGCAAAATGTTTGGCTTTACAGATTCATAGGGTTTCCCTTCCTGCCAAAATTCGAGGGAAAATTAAACAGCTTATTTTTATCAACACTCCCGAAAATTTTCATGAATTAAATCCCTCGGAAGTACACCTTTGGAAGATATTGAAAGCTTAACGGGGAGTGATTGTAATATTTTTTTACCAAAACGGAACATACAATGACTCAACATCATTGTTGAATTGAACATTAACGAGGCAACTTTATAGACAAAGACACTAAACACGAATAATACTGTTACTTATCATAAACTAATAAATGTGATTTGTTTTTGTTACTTTCAAAGATTTTAGCCCCCCGATGCTTTAATCAAAGAGACTCATCAAAATATACTTCACCGTACAAGCAATACAGTTTTAAAATGGCCTATTTCAGAAGCTCCTTGTTTACGTTTCTGGCTGTCATTATTCTCTAGGTTTTCTATTGTTCTGAAGCGTCACCGAGCGTCAAAGTTAAATTTATTTAACTTTGACGCTCGGTGACGCGTGGCTGAAAAAACGCGCTGCGTGCGCATAGCTGCCGAAAAAGCTAACCATATTTGGTCAGCGTCATGACGCGCCGCGCCGTGACGCGTCCAGTGTGAATTCAGCTTTAGTCTTCCATTACAACCATCCTCTGCTGGTAGCAAGGTGAGAATCATTAGTTTTTGTTGTTACAGGAAAAGAGTAATGCAAGCAGTCCTTAATAAGAAGTGATTTTCTTGAAGCATCTATTTTCCGCTCATATCTCTTAAGTTAATGAATATAATGTAAAACTGTTTGCTCGCGTGCTATGCAATTTTGCAATAGCTAAAAATCTAAGAAACAGCCTAATAATCTGCACTTCCAATATCAACAAATCAGCGATATAATTTATTCAAGAAGCGCTAGCCATGCTCCAAATTTGCATTAGCTTTAATCGGAATGATATCCAGTCTTTCTTCTTTCAAGTACCTACAATATTCTGGTGGGTCAATTTGGATAGAAACGTGGAAACTGCTTCGGGAGCTGGATCGATCCATACAACACTAGGAATAGCTTTCCAGGAGGAGTGTGCCGGTGCTGTTAAGCAACAAGAGGAAGCAAGCACTCCAAAGTCAAACAGACGCTCACTTCAGCTTTTGCTGGAGTGTGAAAATCTGCAAGTAACCATACAGCCAAAGAAAGATCCCCCCTCCTTTGCTGCAGATACATCCACCCGAGCAAGCACAGAGGCTAGTGTGTTTTATGAGAAACTTCTAACGCTGTGAAAATCTGCCAGGCTTCTAACGCTGTGGAAATCTGAGCTCAAGTGATCCGATTCACCCCAGATTCGTCGGCTGGATTACAGCAGGCAAGCAAACAGCAATAAAACGTCCTTGACCTACCTTTCACCAATTTCAACACCGATAACAGTGTACACCACCATAGTAAAGTTGTTTCAAGTATCTAGGGGGCTAGCGCGACAATCAAACATGTCGTACACTCATATCACACTGGACGTTGGTGCTGCAATCAAGGCGTATCATGTAATATGGAGCAAGCCAGTGCTATGGTCTGATGTCATTATCCATTTGGGCGATTTTCATGCAATGATGGCTTTCTTCGGTGTAATTGGTTGTTTAGTCTCTGGAAGTGGGCTTGAAGAAGTCCTTTTTCAGGCTGGACTTTGCAGCTCTGGCAGTTTTACTGGCGTTATCAGTGGTAAGCACTAAAACCGATACTGGCTTGCTCACGAGGCATTTTCAGAAGCTCTAGAACAGCTTTTTCAGGAACGCTTTTTGCCAAGGATCCCAGAAACCGTTGCGGACTTCGCACAGTGCCCTCCTGGCACAAGTGATGTGCAAGAAATACTTGATGATGAAAACGTTTGCACTATGCGATCAACAACAATCTTTATGACCTCAGGCTACTCATTCGGAAAAGAGGTTTACCATTTTACTTATCAACTAACAGAGTCCACTATTCTCGCTACGGAAGACTGCGAAAAGCAAGCTTTTTGATGCTTCCATGAAAGATCTCAAAATTTTGGGCAAAAAGGACTTACCAAGCTAGGAAAAGCTGAAGCTTGGCCGGCACATTTGGTACGATGAGGGAAATGGCGGAAAAGCTCGTCGAATCAGTTCCTAGCCAATACACAAAAATTTACATTGTTTGTGACACGTATAGAAGTAAAAGCATTAAAAGAGGGGAACGCGAGGCAAGGGGAGAAAGCGAAAGGTACGTGCTGGCCAGTCCAGACATGAAAGTTCCCTACGATTTCAACAATTTTCTGAAGAATGGAGAAAAGAAAGAATCACTTTTTTATCTGATAGAGCAAGCAATCGAAAAGGGTAGGGAAGGTCTTGGCGAAAAAGTTGTTTTTTTTCGAATATGACAGAATGCAAAAGGATCACAGTCGACAAGACCTCAGTATCGAACGAGCACGCAAGTGATCACGAGGAGGCGGACACAAAATTGATAGCTTTGGTGAAAGCGGCCAATGTCGCTCCCGGTGAGGCTGTTATGATGAGGTCAGGTGATATAGATATTCTTGTAGTGCTCTTGATTTGAGGGTATTCAAGTTCTTATAGACAACGGAACTGGCAGTAATAGAAAGGTGATCGACCTTACATCCTCTATGCTGCCAGATGAGCAAAAGAAAGCATTGATCGGAATGCATGCATTCTCTGGGAATGATCATGTCTCAAGCTTCTTCAGAAAGAGAAAGAATGCGGTTTGGAAGGCAATGCTGGAGCGAGCTGAGTACAGAGAAATGTTTAATGAGCTAGTTAGGTTCTATGGCTTACCCTTCTGGTCAACTAACTCAACTGATTGAGAAATTTGTATGTTCTTTATACGGCAACCTCTACAGCCAACTCGCGGAGTTGACATTAAAACGAGGTTCCTTGGATGCTCCTTGGATGTGTTTAGATATATTATAGCTTTATTTGCACTGTAGGACTCCATATCTATTCATTGTAGTGCGCTTAGCTATGTCAGGCACGTAAATACTGGGGGTATGGGGAGGGGTGTGAAACCCCCCAATCTTTCATCCAGTCGGAAAATTTGAGGACAGTCGGAAAATTTAAAGCTGTTGGTAGAAAGCTAGGTTAATCGGAGAAAACTTGAATCAGGGCTTCAGCCCCCCCCCCCACATTTTTGCAAAAATGTTTTTTTAACAAATAAAAAGAGTAAAGGAAAAGATATAAAGAAAAGAATAATCCGACAAATCCTTTAGTTGCTTAATTTCCAAGGAATACGCCGAGGTCTATGGGGCCTCATAAAGCAATGAATTCAATTTTAAGACTTGAATTAATCAAACGTAATAAGACCATGCCTTAAAAATAACAAAATGTTTTAAACGATTGCAAGAAAATACCTGCAAGAAGTATTCTGAAATGTATTTTAAGCTAATCTAAAAAGCGTGGTCGTGAAAATTTTCTCCTCGCTTCGCTCGCAGGGAAGCCACTTCTTTTAAATATCCGTAAGGCCTCCGCCAACCTCCCGCCGGCCCCTTCAAACGTACCTCTAGCATAATGAGTGCCCCATAAAACAATAGGCATACAATATCGTGAAGCGTTTTTGTGCGTTTTTCAAAAGATGGTTCTTTAGTCTAATAATTCTATCAACTCAAGCCCCCCTCCCCCACTTTGAATTTCTTGGCGCCGCCCCTGTGAAAGACTTAACGACCTCATGATTCTTACTTGTGAGAAAGACATTTTAGACAAATTAAATTTAGATAAGATAGTGTTGCACTAATCTTTTGATGCACTAATCAAATTAACAGTCTTTATGCTCGTTCTTCCAAATTTGCGAAATCTAGAAACTTTATCATTCAGCTGAATAATTATTTACGAGACAATTTATAAGGTTTTGTTGGTAAAAAACTTTTAAAGTTTAGGCTCTCATACAAAACTAGAATTGACCTTTGTCAGTTGGAATTCTTGAGCCCTTAACCCCCCCCCCCCCCCAAAAAAAATATCTGCCAATTATCGTCCCTGGTAATGAGCTGCTGTTTTCCAAATAATCGCAAATAAGATTTTGTTCATCAAAACGAGGCTGAAGTTCCCGGATATTGCCAAAGTTGGACAGTCTCATAAATTTCGCCTTTGGGGGACGATACCGTTTATGATTTACATATCTACATTATATGACATGCTTTTGTTATTAATTTATATAAGCATGTCACTTTATATCTGTCTCAAAAACTACCTATAATTAAAAATAGGCTCAAATTTAAAAATTTGTGGAAAAACAGAGTTGTGAGGAGAGGGAAGCAAGACTAGTCGAGTACCCTGCTTCCTTGACCACGGACATTTTGAACCTTTAAAAACGAGGAAGGTTTTATAGTGTGATTTTCTTGGCCGGAGGAAGGTTGACAAATTTTCTGGAAATAAAAGAATTTCCGCTTGAAAAGCTAACCAAATTTAGAAACTTCTCCAGCAACACAGAATGAACAGTATCCGACAAAGCGGATGATTGGGTGACGCATAACGCCTTCGCAACACCGTCCATCCGATTTCCACCACGCTACCATCAGAACAGTGCATCTTCATTCGAAAGTATTATGACGTAAGACAACACCCGGATTTGGGACCATGGACCTAGTCAAAGAGATCATTGTGGACAAGGCGGTTTCCTGCTGCAGGGGATTGAAAGTCAAATTGTTCATTGAGCAAACAAAAGGAACCAAATTCCTGTGGTACCGTTGAACGTATAAATAACTTAATACGCGAAGAGGATTTCATATCTCATGCGTTCAACAAAAAGGATTTCTAAATCAAGTATTTAAGGCTGGTTGCCTACCAGAAAAATATTTATTGGCAGAATAGCAGAGCAATTTTAACACAAGCAACAATGACTCTAAATACGGTGTTTATTGTCATCATTTCAGCGACTTGTCTGCATGGCTCTCCGCTTCAACCACCGACAAACATTGATCAAAGTGGACTGGTGAGTTCTTCGTGTGTTTAGTAAACAATTTAATTTATCAACAGCTTGTTGTTTTTGTGTGTACCAACTATCCTAATGGCTGCGTCCGCTCAAGGAACATCTTTGATTGACGATAGTGTGTTGTTATACAAAGACAGATCAAATTGTCGTTTTTGGTATGATACAAGGCTTTTCAGATTGCCACCACTCACCCTCGGATAATAAGGGGTGGAAGTGCTGGGTTTCGGCGTGTGTCTCTGTTTTAATATACCCTCGGTGTTTACTTCGCCAAGTTGAAATATTTACGATTTCTTGCTTACTTCCTCGTTCGCATCAGCGTGGTGCTGCTGGTCAGTAAATTCTGGCTAGGATTTCAATAGCCAAATGACTTTAATCCATGAATAAAACATTGATTTAATGCGGGAGAGGCTGCCATGACATACTTATCTCAATGACCGAAATTTTAATATGTTTTTGATAGAAAACTTGGCCACTCTTGCCATCACGTCACCTCGTATCTACACTCTTTTTTTATAAGAACCAGTAAATTTAAGTTCAGACTGACTGTTCTTAATTTTTTTCGAAAATCTGAGGCTGGATTGTTCTTAATTTGTTCTTAATTTAACAGGGTGTAAGGAGCTGCGAGTGCTAGCTTTTTCGCTCTAAGGAGGTGTTCAGGCCTCATTTGCCAACAAAGTGACAAATTTGAATATTCACCGAAAAACACCCACACATCGCTAAAAATCCTCGATTTTGAGAAAAACGTTGTTCAAAATTGCATTTGCAGAAGCTCAGCCTCAGCTTGTTCTTAATTTGTTCTTAACTTTTGACCAATTTTGAGGCTCGTGTTCTTATGAAATTGTTCTTATAAAAGAAGAGTGTATTCTGTGTTCTGATTACGCACACTCAATGATGCGTGATGATAATCTATGAACAATATGACAAATATGTTTGAATAAATGTCTACCATGAGACCTTGATTTGTGAAAACATTATTTTCAATCAATGAAAAATTATTTTTAAAAGTGGCCACTTCCATGCTTATATGCTTTGTTCACAATTGTTCCTACGAGCTATATTGACAGCAGAGCAAATGAAATTCACTCCCAGTGAGGTCCATAGCGCCTTTGTAGTGTCAAATAAAAATTGCGTTAGAAATATTAATAACGTTGTCACATGTTTCGAGAGTACGCTACGCTTTTTCATTCCCGCTTGAGCAGGAGCCCCCGGCAGACAATCATTCTGAAAATACCAAATTCATGAGAAAACTGACAGACAAGCATTTTAGAGATGAATTTAACACAAACAGGATACGAGCAATTCCTTTTGCAACAGTTTCGAAAGACATGGCAGAACGTGAGGAACTAAAAATAGCTTTTCGTGGTTTTTTATTACTCATTGAGCGTTTAGGCGAGATGATAAAGAGGAACGGCGATAAAAGTACAGTTGGAAAATAAACCTTCGCAGAGGAAAATGTACGAAAATCGTTGCCTCCAGAAGATTTTGGTTTGTCTCTTATTAAAAGAATTTAAGTCTATTTTTCTCCTGTCTCGAATTCAGTTTACCTCGATTTGGCCTGAAGGTCTGGAAGCAACCTACCAATCCTGAGCACAGAGCATACTACATTACTGTTCGATTATTCTGACGTCGCGAATTCATTCAATGCAGTTGTGTTATCGTCGTAACCCTACTTCCCTGCCATTGTAGGCCCCTTGCGGGAAATATTTTCGATGCATATTCAGTTTTCACTCTCTATACGCGTCAAACCCCAGTACACAAATAATTTTTTGTCCCCCTAAAGTCTTTGAAGGGCAGATTTATGTGTGATCCTTCATGAGATGTTTGAGTAGTTTTATTTGATTAAATAACTATTTTGTTACGTTACAGAACTACCTCGCAAAGTATGGTTACGTAGTGCGCCCTGACCCACGAAGGGGTTCGATCCTAGACGAAAAGCAGATAGCAGAAGGGCTGAAAGCTTTTCAAAGGATGGGAGGACTACCTGAAACGGGCGTATTGAATGAAGAGACGAAAAAAATTATGCAAGCGCCGCGCTGTGGAATGGCCGACTTTGCCCCAACCGATAACGTCAAAAGAAAGAGAAGATACAAGAAGCATGGCAAAATTTGGAATAAAAGAGTATGTTAAAAACATTTGAATATTTCGTGGGGGTATATTTGGTGGGGCAGTTTAAGGGTTTGATTCAGCATGAAGAATCAGCTTTGATTCAGCATGTTGGGCTATGTGTCACTCTAAGATTCCCACTCTTACATAGTCAGACAGAAAGTGAAGCTGCTTTCAAAAAAAGGTTTTAATGTCTCTTTTATCCACTTTCGATTTATGAACATGCCAACCCCTGTTAATCTTTATAATTATTAGGTTGGCAACTTTAATTTCAATAAGGTGTTGCTTGTCAACGAGCGTCCTTCTATCCAGCTCTTCAAAGTATATTCTCCAGTTGGGGGCAAAATAAGCATTCAAATAAAAACATATTTATATATAATATTTCCCCTTTCGTTGTAAATATCATTTACAATGTGTCAGTCTCTACACATCTTCTAAAAACATATTGTTACAGATTGGTTTAATACCTGGGCTGGTTTTTCTAGAAGAAAAAAGGACTCTTTCTCTGGTCCATTCTTGCTCTCAACCTTTTTTATGCACAACTGTTAAATGAAATTACCCGCGAGGCATTAATCTGCGGGTTGATGAGTTTTGCACTGGCCAATACATAGTTATAAATTCTTCTCTCAATACATAGGCAAGACTAATTAGAGGTCAATATTATCATAATATTCCCACGTGTAGGTCGACTGTAGGCACCATCGTCATGAAATAAACATCCAAAAAAACAATAAACAACCTTTACCTGCACTAGTGTTTGCTCGAATGAGCTGCCTTCCCACGATCACATGCTATGACGTCACCATAAGAAATAGGACCTTGTGTTTTGGTTAAATTAGTGGCATTCTATTTTAGAATCTAACGTGGGCAATTGCCAACAGCAACAACGACAATATCAAGGACGAAGATGTCAAAGAAATGGTAATAAAAGCCTTTAAGAAATGGTCATCAGTAACCAATATTAACTTCGAAGAAGACAAAAGTAAACCTGATATATTATTAAAATTTACCAGAAAATATCACGACGATTCATACCCATTTGACGGAATGGGCGGCGAACTAGCCCATGCATTTTATCCGGAGGGTGGAGACGGTGAGCTATTATAATGATTATATTAAAATATTTGAATAATTACGTTGATTTCGTGTTGATGTAGACTATAGAGGATCGCTAGAACAAGGACCGAGATACTTTGCCAAAAACTTAAGTACCATGAATAAAATACTTTAATTTTGTAAATTATGGCTGTTTTTACACCTATTTATCAGGGCTGCCCCCCCCCCAACATAAAGTTGTATCTCGGTCATTTCTAGAAGAAAACTTAATTGATCAAAATTACTGATCTATTTTTTTTAAGAATTTACATCTCACAGAAATTGAACTTTAAACCAAACATCTAAAATTGAAGCTTCCTTTGTTAACGCATAGCTAACTGATTTTGCAATGAACGTCTTTTAAGCATTGTTGATTTTACTAGACCCAATGATCAGAAAGTTATACCACTTACTGTGCGATATTTGATAAATCTGTTACAGATTCAATAAGATATGGCTTTAAAAACGAGGGCAGTTCACTCTTGAAAACATCGTACAATTTCCTCACGAAAACAAAAGGATTTCCAGAGATTTCTAGATAAGATAAAGGATTTTCACCAACAGTGTACTCGTAATTTGCCCCTCATAATTGAGCTAACTGTTAACAGATTCGACTGAGTTTGCACGCTTAGAAGTGTATTATTGTGTTACTTCAGGTTATGTGGTCTAAATTTAAAAATCCCGAAGATAATATTTGTATGACGTCATCATTTAGAAACTCTGTAGCCGTGAAAGTGAAGTCAGGGTAAAAAATCATTAAAATTCGGAAACCCACAATAGCAAAGCTATTAGTTGTTAATGATGCTTTATTTTGCAGATCTTACAGGAGATGTTCATTTTGATGATGACGAAATATTCAGTATAAAATCTTCAAAAGGAAGAGATCTGTTATGGATCACAGTCCATGAAGTTGGTCACAGTCTTGGGCTGGATCACTCAGGAACGAAGGGAGCAGTAATGCATGCCCTCTATAAAGCTACTAATGGGCTTGATTTTAACCTCCACATTGATGACATACAAGGTGCCCAATCACTTTATGGTAAGTATTGCCTTTGCATAAGCATCTCTTTGCATGGAATGTAGAGAGCGCTAAATTTCCCTAGCACAGTCAAAAAACTGTTCTTAATTTTAGATTAGATAGGTTTGAAGTCAGTGGTGGCGTCTGCTACTGCAGAGTTGGAGAAAAATGGGTGTGATCCTTTAGTCAAAGCGCATTTAATCTCATTTCAGTGCTTTTATCAGGTCCATCTTATTTAGGAAAATCTTTAAAAATCTGACCTACACCTATAAGTACAGTCAACAGAGTTACCAGACAAGCTACTTTCTCTAAGCCCTAAACTAACTTCTATAACCTGTTAAGGGAAAAGGCAAATCAATTCCTATTCAATGCATTAAGCTACACTCTTACTATGTTACGTACTATGTACCCAGAAGACTGTATGACAATATTAACCTTACGTTTTAATAGAAAATTCTTCCAAACGTGTTGAGAAGGACACCTATTTTATTTTTCTCTCTGTTTCTCACTAATCTATTCCTCGCTAATCTGAAGTCCTATATTCTCGCGAATTTAATCCTCTCCGTTATTCCTCTCTATTCCTCTCTATTCATACATACTTTTTTCTCTGGTTCATCTTTTTTATTCCGAAATTACAGTGATTTGTTACGAAGTAGGTAGTTCCTCTTTGGCCTATGACAACCTTAGGTGCAGATTGCAGCACAACGATATTGTGATTTTCATCTTACTTGATCATATTTGTTTTGAATTAGGAGTAAGAGACCAACCGGCAACAGCTAGTCCGCCGCCTGTTCCTGAAAAGAGAGGCAAGATTCCTGGAAGTCAACTGCGGTTGTGCTTAAAAAGGGCCAAAGCTACAGTACTGACGGCCAACAAAGACACGTACATTGTCAACGACGACAAATCGTACATTCTCGACCGTTACTTGAGGAGCAAAAAAGGCCCCATTCCGACGTCAGAATTATTCGGTGGACTCAAAAGAATCGATGCATTATTTAAACGACAATGGGATCACAAACTTGTTGCATTTAGTGGAAATAAGTATGTTTGTTACCTTCATAATTTGTTTCTAGTTATTTTTAAAATTCAGAACCATATGAAGTCATTGTTGTTTTGGGAACGTTTGAGCATGGATACGATTGATAACATCGGATTCAACAGCTACAATGCAGCATTGCATTGCGTAAGTCAAGACAATACAGCAAACAATAATCCACCGGGGCCATATGCCTGAACTTAGTAATGAGTATTACAGCTTAAAGGCTTTAGCTTTTTCAACATTCCTTTTCACCCCTAACTTTAAGCCTGAAAATCCCAATGCTTGCTTGCAATTGAAAATATTAATCTATGCTTATGCCATCGGCCTTGTAAACGGGATCTGCCCTCAGACAAGTCGTTCTTTATTTACCTTTCTTTGGAAAAGTTTTTGGACGAATGTACTGCATTGTGTGAACTTTCTTAGATTGCCTTAAAATATATGCAGTTTTGTGGTCTATAGTTCATTGAAGTATTATGCTGTCATAGGCCAATGACGTGGATACCTTTCTCAGCGAATCAAGATATAAATAGAAACTTTAGAGTTCGCTCCAAGAGTATTGATTCAAGTTATCCATCTCTCAGCCTTCAATCGTGGAAGTAGCATTGTCAGTTTTTTGGTTGTAGGGCAAGGATTATTGTTGGGTGGCTCTTTTAATCATCATTGTTATGATACACAATGTTTTATGTTGGCCGTGATTAAATGTGATTACATTTGTCCTTCTAGGTATTACGTATTTGAGGATACAAAGCTTGTTGGTGGTCCTTATTATATCAGTGATGGCTTTAAAGGTCTACCAGCAAATTTCGCTGACGTGAAAGCAGCGTTTGTTTGGCCAGGGAATAATCAGCTATACATATTCAAAGATGCGCAATATTGGAGGTTCAGTCGTATCCAAAGCCAAGACAAATATAGATTGGACTTTTATTATCCTAGAAAAACGCGCCATGCTTGGAGAGGCGTTCCAGAAGATTTTGATAGCGTCCTTACTTGGAGGTATGATAAGGTCTATTTCTTCAAAGGAGATCGCTACTATAGATTTAACAATAGACGATTCCGGGTCGAGTATGGGTACCCAAGGAGTGTTTGGGAAGACTGGAGTGGGTGCCCTTCACAGTTAGCTGTAACAGGAGCCGCAGAGACCAGGACTGTAAAATCAACGCTTGTGCTTATTTTGCCGTTATTATATTTTATTTTGCATTAAATACGTGTAAACTAATAAGAATATTGATATGTTATTGGAAATGTAGAGTTGTGTTGTTATTGGTGGTTAGGTTTTTATATGAAATATGTATTTATATTTTTATCGAAGTAAATGTGAAATTTTATCAAATTGACAAACATTTTGTAAATATAGTTGATGTTTTTGTTAGGTTGAGTATTTAGAGACAAGTATCAGAAATTATTTGCAGCATTATTTGAAACATATCCGAGCATATTATGAAGAAATATTTAAGGTTTAGCTTGTCTTTCTTTCTATCTTATTACTTGACAGAGAAGGGATCAAATTAAAAAAATGCTAAAACAACCAGTGCAAAAGTTTTTTTAAAACATGCCAAATATGCTTGTATCTGAAATAAATTGAAGATACTTTTAACTGCAATCGTTGCCATGTGCTAGTATTGGTTCGACTGGCTAATTTGCTGTCTTTTTGAAAATGTTTTTCCATCACATGCGATCTGTATCACATGCATGCAACCCGTATTCGTTAGCAAATGTTATCCGTTCAAGCTTTTTAAAGTCCTTGGATATTTGAAGCTAATGAATTTTGGAAATTTTTGCATTGAAAACTGCAAGTTAAGAACATTGTGAAGTATCTGAAGAGAATATGCTTTTTTAATGCACCAATTCAATTTACAGTCTAACTTTGAAAAATTCTTCAAATTTTCTTGTACAAAATATTTGACCTCAGTTTCGGATTGAGAGCCAGAATTCTAGTCTACTAGCAAAGTTTTCATTATGACGGCAAACTGACAACAGTTTTAAAAAGGATTTGACCGTGATTGGCGATTAAGGGGGTAAAGATTAATCCGGAACGATTTTTGCGGGTCAAATCCGTTACAAGTTTCTTCGTAAAATACACGCACAAACAATATGAGAAATTGTATCCGGCCTAAAAATATGGTGATAATTCCAAATCGGAGCTTAAAAAAGTTATACAATGATGGAGAAACTTCAAAAACGAGGCCGTAAGTTGAATTGGTGCATTAAGATATGTGCCCGAATTTTCCACGTACGTTCTCAGACCCTGCTGTGTTATGAAAACTAACAACGCAACATTTTTGCAACATTCAGCAATTGTTTCATTTTACATATCTAAACTGTTAAACCTACCCAAGCCTGATCGAAAAGGGCAGGTCAGTGCACTGGATGTGACAAACATGGCTCATTTGGAACTGGTGGAGCCATTCACTGTGTCAAAAATGCCTTTTTGTACCTGATGGTTGAACTGGTCTCATTCGGCTGAGCGAATTCTGATTATTGTTTGCTCTTTTATTTGAAAACAAATATAAAATGTGCATTATGCCAAAAATCAATCACTTGTTTTTGGATGTTGGTGAGTACGGCAGACGTAAGTATTTTTCTTCCTACCCTCGTCTTTTGCCTCTGTAATAAAAGAAAAAGTTTCTTGTGTTTCCTTGGTCTTTATCTTGCTTGTTTTGGTTCTGTTTTGGTCCTAATGTTAACTCAGTTGGGTGTTATCTGTAATAATGGCACAATGCGCCCATATGTTGCTTTTCCCAATATTTGCTTTACACATAATAAGTAGTTCAGCGGCTCAAATTTACTCATTGGACTTCGATCATCCAACCCCTCCCTCCAAACCTGAAGTTGTCTATTATCAATGTTTGTAGATTCAATCAACCAATCGAAATTGGAAATTTAAATGTTAGCTTATTAAAAACACAGAAGAGAGATACACAGAACAAGACAGTTATACCAAAGCGTTGAAACAGCACACGTAATTATTGCAAGTATATATGTAGTAAAAGAAGTTTCTATACAGTCATTAAAGTTATTTATGGTACATGTAGTAAATTTGGTTCACCCTAAATCCGACCACGTCCTTTGTACTAACGAAACGTATAACTAATGACGGCCATATAACAAACTTAGAACACCTGAACCTACCATAGGCCTAACTCTTTGATTAAATATTTTTGTAAGTTGGCAAATCTTAACTTTAGATCTACTTTAGGTCCAATATCATGACCCATCATGTTTTAAAAGCAATCGACAGGTCCTAAAGTTGCTTGAGTCATCTGTCACTCAAAATTGACCAATCAGCACGCGTAATGCCACTCACGCGTTAATCGATTGGCCAATAGTTGATCGGTCGATGGCTAAGGCCACTTTTGTATCTGTTTACCGCTTTTAAACATCTTGATCTATCGTACGCCAAATGATTTGGTAGCCGTACCAAAAACATTTCGAGCTATCAAACCGTCTGGTTCTAACTAAAGTTGGTAGTTTTTTCTTGATGCACCTTGAATCGTGGAAGGAATGGGTGTAGGCTATGCCAAGAACAAAGAAAATTTCTAAAAAATTCATCAACCAGCAGAAGAAAAGGTTTACTTTTTATCGTTTACGAAGGGAGCACAGCCTACCTGCGTGGCTCTACATAGGATCGCTCGCCCTTTTATAAAAATGGAAATTTTCAATTTAGGTCATTGATGGAGAGACAGCTTGCTCGTACAAAAGTATCTATAAGTTATAAAAATTACTTGTAATTAATAAAAAACTCGGTAAGTGTGCGTGTGCATGTGTGCAAGTGTATGCTGTGTAGATTGGTCAGTTGACTGCATCAATTTTGATTTTGATTTTGACTAAACATAAAAATGGGATTTAATAGGTTATTATGATGAATTATTATTCAAAGTGAAACTTACACGATAAAGAAATTTGCGCATGATTTTAATTGTCTTGAAAAAGCTCGATACTCGATAACCTCGCCTAGCAGAAATTGACGTTTAAAACTTGTTAATGCAATAAATTTCATGAGCAATGAGTTCTCGAGTGTTTTGATTCTGTTGTTTGCATATATCCTCAGATAATTCTTTGAACGTTGATCTACTATCAGCTTTCTACTTGACAGGGAAGACACCAACATGCAGAAGATCTTGCTTCTATTAGTAGCAGCAATTCTGCTGTCAGCTTGCAGTGCTTCGGCCTTGAATGGCAACGAGGTTGCTGTTCATGCTGATAATGATGATATGGGTGGGAACGAGGTCTCTTTTGAAACCTCTGGAAACAACGAAGATGAAGAAGAGGTTGATGACGAGAACGATCAAGCTTCTGCTCAAGAAAAGAATAGAAAAATGCTCGAAGCTGGCACAAAGCTCGCTACCATTATTAGTTCATTAATTGGCTTGGCTGGTG